TTAAAAAATAATGTTGGTTTAAAAAAAAATTCAAAGTTTAAGGTGCTTATGATTTTTTAATTTTATATAAAAATGTAAAATAAAGTTAAATTGACTTGATCAAGTAAACAAGTGAGTTTTCGAAGGTTTGAATTTACTTTCACCATAATAAAATTTTAAGTTCAATTCATTCGATTCTTACAACTCATTTAATTTTAAATATTTTCATGTAAATGTCTATATATTTATTAAAAATATCTAATAGAGAATTATAGAGAATTAACGATAGCTGTAAGATTAATTTAATCTCCACCATCCATTAAAGATGTGAGAATTTTTTAGATTTAAGAGGAGGCCTATAAATATCTCTTGTAACACCCTTAAAAATACCAAACTGATTTTTCACAAATTATTAAAACCATTATCATGGTAGAAAATTTTCTTACCATGATACATCCAAGACATAACACAAGTTTTAAAATATCCAAAAAGGCAATTAAAACCATGAGAGACAGACATAATCCTCATGTCATGATATTCAAATCAAATCATAAATCAAGAGGGATAGACATAATCATCTTGGTCATATAAATACTTTTAATAAAAATGATTAGAGTTTACATGCTTCACAAAGAAGATATGTCCTAAGTTGGCACAAGATACATTGTATAATCTAAAATAAGATGCAATGTAAAAGATGGTGTCTCATACACCATAGTTATACCTCTGGTGCTTTCTCGGTCAGACTCGCTCCTGTAAAAATATTAACCACGGGGAATGAGACTTAAAAGTCCCAGTAACCAAAAATTAATATGTAATGATACATGCGGATGTAACTAATCATGCGATTGCTAAGTGGGCACACAAAACATTTAATCAAACAATACTTTCAAACAAACCAAACAAGTATTTAATTTGCATGACTGCACCTTATATCCTCCTTTTGCCATGCTTGAACGTCAAATCACCCGCCAAAGGTGAGTTGGACCAAGCGACACGCCACTCATTGAGTCCAATGAGGGCTTACCACGTGGTAATAATTAACCAAACAGAAATTTTCATTAACATCATACATTAAAATACCTTAACAAGTCATGCATCATTCAAATATCCAAACAAAAATATATCCGAACAATAATATCTCATCATGATAAATAAAAATAAATTTTTAACCCACTTGACAATAATTTCAAACAAATATACAGTATTTATTTTTAATAATTCATAATTTTTTCAAACAATAAAATAACACATAACCATTTACAAACACACCCATCACAACACATTAATAATGGTTACCTTGTGTCTTGAATAACAAGTTTTCCTTCACAACTCCTTTTTCACCACTATCTTTGTCAATATAATCTACATAATTATTTCACAATACTATATATTAATTTTACATTAAAATAAATAACTCTAATTTAAAGAGTTAGAAAGTCTTAGATTTATAATCCATATTAACACTAATTTAAGATTTATGCCTCATTTAACTTCTTAAATTCTTTTCTAAAATTCTCGTACCCTAATAAACTATTTTTTATCTTTAAATCACTTCTCGTATCACAATTTCCTCCTTCTATATTCTAAAAATTCGTCCAAAAATAAATTAAAAATTTTAAAATTATCCTGAAGCCTCAAATCACCTTTCTATAACCTCAAAAATACCTATTCATACTTAAATAAATATTTAATAATCATAAGTTTATCCCTACATCTCAGATTCCATATAAATTTAACCATATAGATCTAGATTTTAACTCAAAAATTCTTAAACATGAGTTTCAACCTCAAAAAAATATTTTATAATATTTATTATATCTCTAAGAGTTTTAACCTATATTTTTAATCCATCATATCATTAGATTAACTATCCTATAAAAAAATCCTAATCAGAATATTTATTCTATCCTACAAAATAATCATATCACTAGAAAGCTAATATTATTTAGAAAATAACTATAAAATTAATTTTGTAATTAAATAAATTTTTAAATGTTAATCTAAACAGGAAATTTAGAACATACCTGAAGAAAAAGAAAATAATCCCCCCTTGTGAGAAAACGGCGAGCAACGTGAGAGAAAGAGAGAAAAATAATATAAAAATAAAATTGTGGTCCCAAAATTATATTAAAAAAACTATAGGTTTGAATTATTATTCAACTTTTTGGGCCATTACTTGTAATTTTTACAAATTATATCTTGGGCCCTTAGTTGCAATTTTCACAAATTGTAATAAAAATTTCCTAATGCTTCCTCCACAATACACTTCCTCTTTTTATACATGAAGAGGTGCCTTTCATTCCCACATCTAACCGATGTGGGACTAAACCCCCTCCCATTTTTTTTTACTTTCTTTTTTTTAACTCACACACACACATTAATAATAATTTTTTTAAATCTTAAAATTATATCTTAACAACATATTTTTTATATAATTTTAAACTTAAGTTTTTAATTCATAATTAAATGCCTAACCATATTATTATTTTCAAATAACCTCAAAAAATTTAAATTTCTATTATTATCATCATTTAAAAAAAATTTAAATTTCATAAAAAAAAATTTTATCTAAAAATTAGGATGTTACATCTCTCCCTTCCTCATTTGCAAGCATCATTGAATTCTCAAGTAATACAAGTCTCACATTCTTACAACTTTCTCAATCATCTTTTGCTCTTGAGATTTTCATTTCTCAACTTAGCCAAGCATCTTCCTTCTTGACAAATTAGGCCTATTTAACATCTTCTATCAAAAAAAGTCTAAGTGCTACATGGATCAAAAGATTAGCCTTGTGACCAATGTTTTCAAAACCAGACTGGTAAAATAAAAAAGGTCAATAATTCACTATTTATATGGTTCAACCAGGTTGGACTAATGATTAAATTGATGACATAATAATTAAATTAAAAAAATTATTTATGTATATAATAATTTAAATATAAGAAATAAATATAAAATTGCTACTTAACTTAAAAAAATTAAATATTTTAAGTTTATCATAATTTAATAAGTTACATGATATAAAATAATATCAAATGATTAAAAAAATTAGTCATTTTTTAAAAAAAATTGATAAAAAATTAATTTTTTTAACAGTTTGGTTCTTGAAAACTAGATTTGGGATCGGATCTAATTGCCTGTCCAAAACAAATCAGCTCGGTCCAACTCTCAAAATGATTTTCACATATTAGCTGAACTAAAATCTGAATTGATCGATAGTCAGATCGGTCCAACTGCCTTGTCTGATTTAATTTTTAAATCACTGCTTGTGACGTTAGGATGCGATTTGCATGTATGTTGATATGACATCAGGGAGGGAAGGTGGGGGAGAGAGATGAGAAACGGTCGATTGGGGTCAGCACATTTGTTTATGGAAGAACTCTCATGAAAGAAGACGAGGTTTCGAATATTTGTAGGTTTTGTATTTTTATTTTTTTCCGCTTCGGTTTTTAGGACGTTGCACCTCCTGGTACCACTGTTCTCGAGGAGGCAGTTCAAGTTCCACCAATATTGCATTCCACAGCGAAGGAAAGGTAGGGAGGAAATTCTACTATCAAAGGAATAACAAACCCGCATGGGGGGGGGGGGGGAAGTTCTTTACTCCTGAGACTAAAATTCAGTTTCGTACGTCTATTATGATCCGCACGAGCTTTTTTTGGAATCTGAGAACACAAAGCTATTAATGACCCCCAGAAAAGATCAGAGTGATGGTAGCGGTGGATTAAGGGGGTTATCAACCTGACGTATTTTCGTCATATCGGTTGGTTACGTTTATGGCGATAGCAATAGGATGCGTTTAGAATTCAAATTCACATTTAATGTTGTCGTGCGCTCTGCCTTGAAATGTATGTACTCCAATTAAGCAACTCAATGATGATATATGCGACCATATAACAAAAACCTTACAAGCTTACATGATCATTATCCTTTTTGTATGGTTTATATTTCACAACTAGCAAAATTTAGTGCATGGAAATTCATTAAATAGTTAATAAGACATTCCGTAAAATTGTGTTGATAATTGATATGATCCATGATAACATCCGGCAACATGTTAAAAATCTAAACAAAAGGAGCATGAACTCTACCCCAGAGAGAAAAAAATGGGGGCAGGAAACAGAAAACTTGATAATCACACTAATGTGGCGACTTAATGGTCATGGAAAATATTATTTGAGAATCTCTTCTGTATAACGATACAGCGTAACTGTGGCTCGATCTTCAATGGTAAGCGTTTTCCCCCCTTGAAAAGAAAATATGCCTTTCTATAAAGAAAGGGGAGGAAAAATTTATAGAACCTGAGTTAGTAGAATACAAGTTTATATATATCATGCTTGATGCTAAAGTAAACACAGGCCCTGCCAAAGTATTTTATATATAAGCTCTGAATCTGTTTCAGTCGCCATGTCATGCAGTGGAAGCTTTTTCGTGCCAAAGCCGCTCTGCGGGAGTTCAATTAAAAAACATTATAGCTCTTGTTCCCCATACCCCTACGCACTCCATGATGGTTACCTCACAACAAATGGTTCTTTTTGTCTTGGATTGCAATTTTTACGAGTCAAACAGGCAGACAAATTGCAATTACTTCGTGACTGTTATAATCTCTGCTGCAATTATATCAGACACAAACATGCTACGAGCATTTGGCTTCTGGAACATATTTATCGAGAGACCTCGCCAATTAAGAGATTTATCTGGTATGCTGTGATGTCAGACGCAGTGTTCAAAGAATTGAGAGGAACACTTTGAAGAGAAGCTTTCTGGTGCCAATCAGTTGTAATTATATGGATCACATAATTTTTTCGTTGGCTATTAGCAGACTACTTGGGGTCCTCGGATCGAGTCTCTTTTGGTGCCTCAAGCTGCTATGATACCGTCATGAGTTTGCCCGGAGAGAAGGAAAAAAGCAGAGATGTAAGGGTTGGATGGTGTCATTTTCATGTGAAATAGGACAAAATAGGAAAAGGAAAAGGGAAAAAAAAAGTGGTAAAAACGAGACTCTTCTTACCGTGGCATGCAATTTTATTGATGATATACGATCAGATATGTTCTATTGAATGCACCAACAAGCCTAGTGGCCTTTCCCATTCAAACAGCATCCCCACAGAGCCAATCACTGTTCCAGCAAATGAAACATAGAAGATCTTGCAGATAATAATGTGTATCATAGATACTTTATCTCCCGTGCATTTTTCAACCATGAAAAAAAGTGCCAGCTAGAAGGCGCGCGCGCACATATATACAACGATAATAGACTTTTCCTCTCTAATGACCAAACAGTGATGTTGTGCGAGTCCTTCCATATCCTGCCCTGAGTTCAATCAAAATCTGAATGAATCAATTGGCACAGGGTTCTGTATATATTGTTGGCAACTTGGCGTCCCAATTTGAAACGAATTATGCATAAGCAGTAAGCTGCCTCTAGTGCCCTCGGTCCTTTGGCATCTTCTCGGTGCCTTTATGAATAATAAAAATTGTTAGGTGGCCACCAACCCAGCTAGTATATTTAACTCATTGCCATTTCAGTTTTTTCCCACTCACCGCAGTGTCCAATGAAAAACTCGGCATGTTGAATACGTTCACGCAGTGAAAGTACCTCAAACACTGCCACAGCTCACGGCAAGTGATCTGCTCACACTCCACCCCAACGCATCCGCAAAAAGGAGAGCCATACTAGTCCAAAAGTAAGATGCAGCAAGCTAAGCACTAATTTAGATTTGAACGTTAATGCTGGATGGGTTCTAGTCTTTATCAGATAATATAAAAATTTGGGAGCTCGAGCTCTTCTGTCGTTGAGTAGTTTTACAGATTTATATAATGATAATATTTTATTATCGTGGTACATGAAAATGCATAAAAATTGTAAAATGATAAAAATAAAAATAGAGAGCCCAATTTAGCAATACCATAGCGCAGCAGCAAGAGGCGTGGGGATATGGGGATGGTGAGGTCAAGTTTTTTTTTTTTTTTTGGGGGGGGGGGAATCAATATGAGACGACTTCGATCGGGGCTTGAGAGACAAGTGAGACGCAGTGCAGGTGGCTGCTTCATGAAAGTGGATGAGATCAGGCTTTGTGTTGGTAACAGAGAAGCCATATATAGCAGCAGGGTGAAGAGGCAGCTTTTGCAATAATGGAGTGTGGACTTCGGAGATGATTACGCTGTGATCGAGCAGCTCACGTTTCGTCACTATCTATTTCCACTTTCCAGCGTCGAACTTTACTATTATTGTCATCCAACATCATTCACCCTCCTGCCGACAACCTCTCAACTCCTTCCCTCGCTAAATCGGATCCCCTCCTCCAATGATGTGGCCTCAATTTTGTTAACCCTCCCACGTGCACACGCGTGGCATTTTTTACATTTATATGCCTGCGTTACTCTCATCTCAAGTCCTTTATATATGCGGGACTTGTAGAAATACAACCTGATAGCACCCCATACATGTCGTGTACTGTAGTGACGAATCTTATTGTATTATTCTCATCTCTTATCAATTTCATTCTTTGTTAGACATCTTTCTCCACCTCCGTCACAGCTCCGTTGAATTTTAGTCCGAATTATTTTTACGTTTGAACTGATGAGTTTCTAAAATATCAGGAAGCACACTACATACATGTACATGACCCCCTGAAAGAATTCGTCCAGGTACGTGAATATCAGTTTAATTAAGAAGGCATAAGTAGTCATCAATATAAATCTTGAAGCGGTCCGAAAATTTGAAAAATTTATGCGCGAATATCATGAGAGTGGCAAAGAAGAAGATATATTATGCGAAATCAGGTCAAACGAATCATCCATATTAATGCTAACGTTAACATTATTCTCTCCCTTTGAGCTCAGGATAATACATTTGAAACAGTACTCGAATCGGCTTCATATTATAATTTCCGGAATATTCGTCGACCATAAAAATTGTTGATTTGGTTGTCACTTTCCGTCAAAATCTTGAGTGCATATGTGCTATGCCATGAGTGTTGGAGATCAGCATATCGCATTTCATTATGCTAAAACTTGTTTATTTTGGGCTAGGATTTCACTTTTTTTTTGGGGGGGGGGGGGGGGGGGCCGGTTTCAAAGCTAGGATTTCACTATGCAAACTAGGAAACTTCGGCGCTCTTGAACTCGCTCCACACTAGCATTCGAGCATTCAATATGGTTCTTTAATCTTTGATACTACCCGCAGAACAGGCGCGTACACAGTCTCAAAATTTTAAATTTAAATCTTGAAATATATAATCGCATCAAACAAAAATGTTAAAAGCAACTTGAGGTACTGGACATGAAGCTATCATTGGCAATAATGATTTATACAGCAGGAGTTTGAATTAGACTAGGCAAGTTTTCCGAAGATATCGGACCATAGAATTAAAAAAGTTACAGAAAAAAATACTTATATAAATAATTACATATTATCTACCCATAAAAAACCTGCAGAGATGTTAACAATTTGTTCACAAACAAGATCCTTCCAAGTTACATCAATAATAGTATCTGTGCCCATTTTACGGGATATAGCAAAGTATCTATTAAGGATTTGTTCTTATTATAAAAAACATATCCTCTCGTTTTAAATTCATGCGAGATAAAAACAGAGTTAATGTTTTTTTTTTTGAAAAAAAAAATTAACATGGTGTAGGCTCAGTATTAATAAAGTAATACTTACGTTAAATTCTGACTCTATGCATAAATAATATTTGACATTCTAATATAACATACGAAAAATGAGATAAAGCATATCATTTCTTACTTTTTTATTAATAATAGATGGGTTGATTGATAATTAGAATTAAAGTCCGAACTTCTTACCCAAAAAAAAAAAAGAATTAGAGTCCGAGCTTTTATTTTAAATCTTGATCAGTACGGGTCTAAAAAATTCTGCAATGTCTAAGATATCACAATTTAGAATTTTTATGTTATACATAAAAAGATATATGAACATTCGTTGAAGAGGAATTTGTTTTCGTTAATTATGATCATCATTCTTCTTCGGTGACTGAATCGAAGCCTGGCACATGTCGTGGAGAAAGCTAATCCATCCCACTTAGCAGTTCTCGTAATTTTTTCTTCATTTTGAGCTTGTGGCCCAACAAAAGCATTCCTGACCCAACAGGAAAAAAAAGGGGGCAAACTCGTCACTTTTCCAGATGACCCAATCCCCTGAGTCTTCGGGTCTGGACCCTCTCCTCTAATTAACTTCGGATTCCCCAGGAAAAAAAAAAACAAAAATGACAATAGATTAGCATTGCCATTTGTGAAAATCAAAAGGATCGTAGCAGCATGTATCGATCAGTCCAAGAAATAATAGCTTCAGAAATATAGGCCTAGAACTAGATACAAGAAAATCATTGCAGAGACATTATCCCACATGAAGTCTTCAATTTCTTTAAATGGAATGGAACTATGGAAGTACTATAGCTGTCTTAAACTTCAATTACTCTTGAATTATCAGTACCGATTTATCCATGTCACTTAGCAAAGTGGGAAGAAAGACAAAAAGGCCTTTCCCACATCATAAAGCGAAGGGTATTATAATAAAATCACGAGGGAACATGGCGAAACTCGAATAAGAAAGGCAGTCTCCAGAATCAGAGCCCTGACACAGTTTTCATGGTAATGCTACCCCAGCTATGAGAAGTTAGTTGCATGGCCTTTTTCACATGACAAGCAACAAATAAGTTCTGCGCCACAAACAACATCTGTGGAGAGAGAAAGCAACCCCTTTAATCCTTCACAAGAATAAGAATCCAATTTTGTTCAAGTCTCTGGCTGAGACTGAGGGTAATGGCTTACAATAAAGGCAACCATGGCGGCGGCGGCGGCGGAGGAAATAGGGGAAGATCATACGCGCTGATGTTGCTGCTGGCATTTGGAGCTGCGTTGCTTGGGGTAATGGTGCTTCATAAGTTCAGGGAAAGGCGTGTTTACACCCTTCTCCTGAAAGAAAAAGACCGTGATCTCCTAGCCCTTCAGCTTTTCTTGCAGGTAATGACTCTCCTCCTTCCTCTCCCATGTCGTGTTCTTTTTCTCATCTGACGTGTCACTCTACTTGTTCGACACATGAGAAGCAACATGCATGTAACAGATCTTTATCAATTGTCTTCCTCTTAATAATTCTTACAAAGTGCTTATACTCAAATCATTCTTTTACCCTTTTGGGACGAATTTTCATAATTTCTTGCTCTAGGGTGAAAATAATATCATGGCATGTTGCATTTTCTACTCCCTTTTGAAGTTAACTGCACTGAGTTCTGCAATTATTCGCACGAGGGTGGACTTTATTGTGTAGATTTGCAGTGATAGTCACGGTAACTTCGGTTTTTTTCAATTACATAGAAGGAAAGAGATCACACTAAAGAGATGAAAAGGAAGAACGAAGAAATGAAGGCGAAGATATACTCCCTGAGAAGCCAAAAGATGGAGCTTGACAGAAGAGTTCTGGAGATGAAGTCCACGATGGATTCGCTGAAAGAAGAGCAGAGAGTGATGGAATCCGCATTCGAAGAAAAGCAGAATGAGATCAAAATGCTGAGAGAAAAAGTGAGCGATTTGGAAAATGAAAATCCTGAATTGATAGCTTTAAAGGACAAGTTTCGGCAGAAGGAAGCAGAGATGGAGGCCTTGAAGCACCGTTTTGAAGAGGCATTTAAGAGCCGCGGAGTAAGCAGTAATGATCGGACCATCCTTCCAGAAAGCGTGTTGGAAAATGGAACAATGACGGCGCAAGAGAAAACTCAGACCGAAAATAAACAAAGGGACGAGCAATCGCATGATCAAGCTGCCAACTATGAGGATGGTAAGAGCATTACGAACGAAGATGCAAGCAAAAACAAATTGACCAAGTTTGATGAAGATGAACAAAATAAGAGGAAAGAAATTCTGCAAGCTGATGGTGGTGCCGGTGTCACTGCAAAAGAAATGGACGAGGAATTCGTGGATGGTGAAGAAAATGTGACAATCAGAGAAGAGCAGCGTGGAAAATTTGAGGATGAGACAATTGGTGGAAGTCAGGAATTCAGTTTGAAGCAAATGGAAGATAACCCCAAAATTCCTCATGATGAGGAAAGGAAACTTGTCCGTCTAGGTAGAACAAAGGGGAAGAGATGGAGAGCGATTGTCAAGAACGGTTCACTGGGAAACAATGGGATTTCCAAAAGTCATGGACCTGTGAGCATAAGAAGCAGAAAGCTTAACAGAGACCAGCAAGATGATAAAAACAATGAAAGGGGGGAAGAGGAGATGAGTGATGACAGTCCGAGCAACAACAAGGCAGAAGAAAAAGTGCAGAAGCATGGAAGGCATGACGATATACAGGATGGCAAAACCAAGATAGTAGATGATATGAATCACCAGGTGACTGACAATGATTTTGGCGCGCACCCAGGTAAACAGACAACATGGGATGAGGACGGACAGTCAGAAAAGCAAGAGGAAACTGGAGTAGAACAAAGTTGGAGTAGAAGGCATATCAACTTGGTGGAAATGTATGCCGGACAAGAAAAGACTCCCACTCTCCATAAAGAACTCGAAAAACCAAAAGCTGCAGATGTACAAGAGAAAGATGACATCGAAGGGCGTGATGATGAAGATAAAAATGACGATTTCTCCGAGGAATCCCAGTCCAACTTAGCAGATGAGAATGAGCACAAAGGGGAAATGCACTAGTTAGGGTTTCAGGGGGTTTTGTTATGACCCTGTGAATTCAGCTAGTATGTCCTGTTCGGACTAGGGATACAACAGCCGGTATTAAGTTTGATGTGATCATAAACCACTAGCTCTAAATAGTGTAGTGCCTTGGGAAAGAACATACTAGTAAAACAAGCTGTACACGGCGTTCGAGGTTATCTTCTCTGTAATTATATGCTGCCTCGTTTTACCTTGAAAATTACAGTAGCAACTGGCAAGGTAGACTATACGCAATCCGTGAAAGATCACTTGAATAAATTCATTGTTAGCACTACTTTTGCATCGTGAGTCGGGTGCAGGGGAAGAGTGATTATTCAAACTGCTACTTTTACCATAAAGCGTCCATTTTGAGACTTACAGAATATCCTCGGGGGTCTAATTCAAACAGCACAGGCAATGGAATCCGTCCAGCCAATTACTTCACGTCAATAGGCTCATTTAGAGCACAACGATAAGACGATACCAGTTGTAGCTCATGTCAATGAAATTAATTGCTTACAAAAGTAGAAGTGTCCTTAAATTATTAGTAGAAGACCGGCAAGCATATAGTGAATGAAAAGTAGCAAATATGTCCTGGAAAGAATCGTCTTCCAAGGAACATCATTCAGGGATTTATCGATAACTAGCCAAAAGGATTTCTCGCCAGCCAACGAAACAAAGAACGGAAAACATGGGAAAGCCCACGCCTTCACATTATTACCAGCAACAGTTGGGATGTGGAAATATCCAAACTTCACTGCGTCGCTTCCACCAATTTCTGCAAAATCAGTGCTCGTTTAGCAAAGACCAAAAATTTGACACCTAAAATTAGCCACTATTAACATTCAAAAAATAGTTTATTTGTTTTGCAGACCCATTGGTCCACTTACTCAGGGGGGGAGGTCTTCAGTGACAACAAAGCAGAAGCATCAAACCAGAAATACTTGAAATAATCATAACTCACTAAGAAACAGAACCATCAACATTCAAAAGAAACTGAAACCTCTCTAACAAAGCTCTATTAGTCATCTTGCCATTTGAAAATTTTATTAAACAGGCTATGAGATAAGGACCATGCAAATATTCTAGCATGGTAAATTTTGGGAAAGAAAGATTTGTTTGACAGAAAATAGAACAGTGACAGGAACACTCATTTATAGAGAACCAACTTTGGACCGACTCATGACGACACTAAGTCACTAACGAGAAACCAACATGTGGTAAACTGGTAATCTTGGTAATCTCAGTAATAACCATTAGAAAATACGAACAGCAAAAAGTACCTCTTCTTTCTTGCCCTTGCCTCCAGTGAAGAACTTGTATCCACCAAAGAAGAGTAAACCCCAGCCAGATAAAGAAACAATTACAAACTGCAAGAACATGATAACGAATCATATCAATACATAAATGCTTTGCAATGAATGCACTGATCTCAACACATGTTTACACTCACATGCTCTTCCTTCCATTTAGATGGATTCAGCGGATCTTGCCAACAGTTAACTTTGGGGGTTCCATGGTGATCTGCAATAACCAAATGAGTAAGCCATTTCACGGACAAGTTGCAAAATATTACCATATAGCAAGCTATAATGCAGAAAATCAATTTGACTACAGAGTGGGAAGATGGAACGTATATTGATTAATAATGTCAGATTAGGTCCGGCATCAACACCAGAATCTAATTTTTCTTTCTTTCAATTACTAGTGCTAGTACGGTTCAACAGAATCAGATAAAGTAAAACAACAAATAGTGATTGATAGTGCCTCTATTCCAATCAAGTTTATATATTTTGTTCTTTCCTCTTGTTGTTTACCACATAAATATCCCAATGGTTCCATTCAAAGACACGCTTTTTATTTTTCCCGCTTTTCAGGGAGGGATAGGGATAAAATTCATTTTGTTTTAAATGAAATTTTAGGTAGGTATGGGTAAACTTTAAAGGTTTCCAAGAGGACATCAACTGTCTGAGTTTCGCAGTTATGTTCAAATAATTTTATCTCATAATTTCCAAAGTTTAAGCAGATATCCAACTCAATTGCATGTTTAATTAACTTAAATTATACAATGTAAAATCAACTCCTTCACAGGTTTCAGCCACGCAAAGAGAATAAATGCCCCACCCCCGGGGCTCAAAAGCCCAAAGTTATACCGATTTGATACGCAACACCAAACTTTTAATTCTTGCGAAGGCATAAACACTTCTCAGCTAGCAACACTACGCCAATAAATAGAACGGAAAGATTTGCAAGATCCCATAGATCCTGGCCCACATGGTAAACGGGATCAAACGAATTCACAAAATTCATGTAAATATAAATTACCCGCGGCACCGGCGAGACCACGCTTATGGATAAGGCTGGCGGCTTGAATTGGTGTTCTTGGCGAAGAAATACGGCTTAAAGAAGCAGCTCGACAAACTGCGGCCGCTGCTAGACTGGCCATGGCTTTGTGCTTGTTTGAAATGCGATGCGAGAGACTAGGAAGGAGAGCATAACGCTTTGGTTCCGGGAGACAGAAATGCCCGACGCTCAAAGGCTCGAAGCTAAACGACGTCGTATTTCAAGTGACATGGCGCGTTCATGTCGTATAAAGAAACCCGGTTTTACGGTGATGTCCGCACTCCACAGTGAACTGCTACAGGCCATGTCATCATTTTTAATATATAAAAAAATTTATAATACTCCTTCCATTGTAAATTATAAAATACTTTTAAATAAAATATTACATATCAATAAATCTAATTAAATATATTTAATAATTTTATATTTTTAAAAAATAGAAATATAAACTTTTAAAAATATCTATTATTTAATATATTAAAAAAAAGTGATAAAAATTAATTATAAAAATAAAAAGAATAATATTGAAATTGACACATTTAATGAAACTTTAATTTATTCAAAGTATCTTATATTTTAGATAGAAAAACTTTTTCAAAAGCACTTTATAATTTATGATGGAGGGAGAATATTCATAATTTTGGTGGTGAATAATAAATAAATAATTTAATTTAATTGGAGCTTTTGCATTAAAATCCATTTCTTACCATTTTTAGGAAGAAGAAAAAATTAATTCCCAGCTCATTTGGTATGTGCATGTGGTTTGCTTTCTCATGGATGTGTCTGAAGACAAGGTGTTTGAAATTTCTCAAGCTGCCGCTTTCGGTTGAAAGTACCAGGTGAACAGATTTTTCTTATCTGCTTTTGGACTCACTCTTTAATTAAGACATACCATCTCTAGTTCCAAAAAGAAAAACCATCAGTACGAGTCGACAAGCAGAAGTCATTCTTCTTTCAGAATGATCGGCGACGTTCAGATTACTTTGCGTTAAGGTATTCGTCTTCAATTTTTCATGAAGTCAAAGCACCCTCATTTCTTAATCTCTTGTTTATGGAATAAGTTCCCAACCTCGTCTCTGATCCATTAGCTCAATCACAGTTTTCTTCGTTTAGGTTTTCTCGGAAAGGCTTCAATGTGGTTGGACGGTTCGGCGGTAGCTGAGGGGCAGCCAAATGGCCAATCATATAGGATGAGAGAAAATTACCATTTCAAAGAATAAAACATGGTCAAGAAGATCGCAGATTCACAACCATTATTTCTCACATGCTTGAAATATGGTTAAGACTAAGGAAGGCCTGAAGATTCTCTAAGACTGTGGGATATTTACGATAACACATGTTATTTATAAGGAATTTTTTAAAAATCTGATGTAACATGTATTTGTTTTAAAAGCCTATTAAAACATATTTTATTTTGAAAAAATTAATTATTTGATCCCTGTAGTTTGACCAAGTTACATCTCAATTTTTTAACTTTGACTTATTATAACTCAATCTCTGAAGTTTTGACTCAATTATAAATTAGTCTCTAAACTTTGTCTCTTATAATTTAGTTCCTAAAATTTTAACTTGTTTAATATTGATCTTTATAAAGATTAAAAGGGTTTAATAATTTAAAATATTAATAATAAACATTAAACTATATTTAAATTTTTATAATTTTATTTTTTAAACATATAGAGACTAACATTTAAGAGATTAAAACTTTAAGAACTAAATTGTAAGAGGTAAAGTTCAAGGACTGATTTACATCTGAGTTAAAACTTCAGAGATTGAGTTATAACGATTTAAAGTTCAAGGATTGGGTTACAATTAAGTTAAAATTATAAAGACTAAATGATTAATTTTTTCTTTCATTTTCCATGTAATTTGATCAATGCAATACATGACTATTAGAGTTACAAATTCAATATACATTCAAGGGATAATTTTGTTGATTTTTTACTATCTGTTTTTGGATAAATATGATTAAATTAGTATAATGTTGCACAAGAGAGTAAAAGCTAGTTTTTTATATGCTTAAGCTTTACTTCCCAATTAGACGCCATATGTATTTCATAGTATATGGTAAATGAACGATATATAATGTACAAATACCAACATTTTTAAAATCATGTTGGATATTGAATTAAAAAAGTCAGTGGTTCACATGATCCAACTGGATTGGATTGATGGTCAAATCAATAACGTAATAATTAAATTAATATATATATATATAACAATCTAAATATAAAAAATAAATATAAAATTATTACTTAACTTCAAAATAAAACCAAATATTTTAAGTTTATCATGACTTAATAAGTTACATGATACAACATAACATTAAATTATTAAAAAAATTGATTAAAAAAGAAAAAAGAATATTTTTTTTAACAGTCTGATTGTTAAAAACCGAATCCAATTTTTGGTTCAACTACTGGTCCCAATCCGACCCAACTCTTTAAGTAATTTTTTTGACTTAATCGAGTCATTAACCTAACTAATTGACAATTTGACTATCCAATTTGATCTAATTTTTTAATCATTGATAAATACTTAGTAGTACTAACTTGCCTCTAGGGTGTAATTTGCTAATCAAGTACGTTCTCGGACCAACTCAAAATAGGGGAAAAAAACATCATTTTGCATGTAGAGAATTAATGTTATGCTTGGCTCATAAGGTAAAATAGAAAGAGGAGAACATAAAGAGAAGAGAAAAGTAAAAGAATATAATTTTCTTCTATTGTATTTGGCTAAGCAAGAGAAAACAAGAAAAAGAAAAAAAATTATCAATTTTATATGAACAATAATAACATTATTATTAGTGAAAAATAAAAAGTATTTATATATAATAAAATATAATATTTTAACATATTATATATAATAATTTCTACCATATATTATTGATTGAATAAAAAAATATTTACAAATTATTTTATTCAATACTAACAAAAAATCTAATTTATAATTTTATTTATTAAATTATTAAATATATAATAATTTTAAAATTTTGAAACTGCAACCAAATATAAAAAATTTAATTGAAAATTTGAAATTAGTACTTGTCTAATTAATCTAAAAATAAAAATCAAATATACTGTTTGTTTAACAAAATTTCATAATTAAAATGTTATTATATTACAAATATAAAATTTAAAAATGGTGGGTAAATTTAAAAATAAAATTTTCTTTTTAAAATATTTTGATATTTGGAGAGAAGAATTAAAAGTAAAAATATGTGGATCTTACATATTATTTTTCTCTCATTTGTTTTGCCTTTTAACTTTTCTCTCCATAACCAAGTAGAAAAAATGTTATTTCTCTTTTATTTTTCTCTCCAGCCAACCATAGTATAAATTAATTTAAAAAGGCGCGTCACTTACAAGTAAGACAATGAAGAGAAATCGCAGGACCACAGCATTCTTAGCAGATTTTAAATTGCCACATATGAACACGTGACAAAGCAAAAGTTTTACAGGTAATTAACGTTGGAGTGGCACTCCAACTTTGGTGTAAGTTGGATTCCTCTCCCAAGTCCCAACCAGTGCATGGAAGAAAGAAGGCCAAGATGACGCTAAAAACTGACAGCGCGCTGTGTGTGTATTAATTAACAGATCGACTGTACGTTCTCTTTATACTTCTTCTCATACATAATCCTTTATATTCATTTAATTTTTCATTTGATTTAACAGTGAAATATTTTGATCATGTCGTTAAACCAAATATATTATAGAGTGATGGATCGAGGAAAAAAATAAGGAAAAGACTCCGACTGGTTACCAGTTTTAGTTGAAAAAATGTGCTTGGTTAGCACCCCCCAAAAAAGGGGAAAAACAAAGAAAAGAGTTCTTCTCACAGAAATTCGCTTCGCAGAAAAAAGTACTGTCATGGATATGTTCCATAAAATACATTGCATCTCCGCTTTGGATTACATAAAGTATGCGGCTGACATGATATATACACAATATATACATATGGCAATATCATCTTTCTTCCCTGTTCACAACCAACAGAAACAGAGAGTCCCCACCTCATTAAATCATCATGGTTTTGGATAAGATAACCAATGGTTTCACTCCCAAACTACGGGTCCAGATTAATGTATGATGGGCTGATGTAAAAACCATGTGCTGCACAAAATCCTTTGGCATCCATTAAAAACCCAACACCGTCACTTTCTGAACAAAAAAGACAAAAAAAGTGTATGGATTATGGATATGAGGCATTTGGCAAGCGAGATATGGCTGCGCGCCTCAACTTCAAGTAAAAACCATTGGCTTTCCATATAGTCCACATTTGGCACCGGTTCCGGTTTCCCCTCTCAGCCGTCTTTTACAATCTATATAAGTGCCGATCCCACTCGTTGCTTCACCCAAAAGCGTTTCAAACTAGTAGGTGCAACAGTACTGGAAAAAGATAAGAGAATTGAAGCAGCTGAAACATGTGCCCGACAACAGAGGCTTGGGTTGTGGTAACCAGTGTTGGAGTCGTGGAGGCCTTGAAGGATCAAGGTTATGGCAGGTGGAACAACGCCGTGAGGTCAACACACAAGCATGCCAAGAACCAAATAAGGTCGGCAGCTCAAGCCAAGAAACTCTCTAAGCCTTCTTCGTCTTCCTCGATGTCGACGTCAAAGAAGCTCAGAGATGATGAGGGGATAAACAAGTCGGAGGAGTCTCTGAGAACGGTTATGTTCTTGAGCACCTGGGGCCCCAACTCCTGAATCAGAAGCTAAGCCTGATTTATCAGAGAAAATCTCACACATGCTCATAAAATAATGGACTACTCATCAATGATCAGCCGCCTATCTTTCTATAGAGTCAACGAGCTTAAAAGCGGCCTTGGCGGTGATAAGTTGATACGGCCATGTGTGTAATGCTTAGAGATAAGATATGTAAACTAAAAATAAATTCGATTTCCATTGTGACAACAATGAAAACATCGTCCGCGGAAAAAGTGTCTCTTCTGCGTTATATTATATACCACACGTGCGTAACCTTGTGAGTATTTGCATGTGAAACTCAAACCTTAACTCTCATCTCATATCACCATATATACAATGCTCACACGCAGGATTCACTTTTCTATCTCCGCATGCACCGTAATTTCCAGCTTATGTGAACTCATGCTCATTCATCAAATATTTTATAGGTGGCATATGTTAGTTTTATCATTTGCATTTCTTTCCATACGTCCGTTATTTTTTAGAGCGATCAATTAAATAACTTGCTTACCGTTCACTTCCCATAAAAACTCCTCGCATCAATATCCAGGTAAAAGTATCAAATAGGAAAATTGTAATAAGTGGCATTATTTATAAAAGTTAAATCTATTGTGTAATATGAAAATGACACGTCTTCCTTTCATTTTATTTTAATTTATGATAGAAAGGTCTCAAAAGAATTAATTAATTTAAATTAGATTCTAAATGTCAAATTTTAAAAATTTGCAACTCAATCTTTCAATTTTACATTTTTATTGTGATGAATTTACAACTTATATTTTAAATTTTAATAGAAAAAATATATTTTTTATTTTTCAATCATATTAAAATTTAAAAAATAAGTTACAAATTTATCACAATGCAGTTGTAAAATTGAGAGATAAATTTATAAATTTTTAAAATTTGACACTTGGGACTTAACTTAAATTAATTGGTCCTTTTGAGACCTCTTTGTCATTCTCCCTTCCTTTTATTTTAAAACACCATTAGAAATATTTTTAAAAATTGAGATAAGAAAAATATATATTCATTGAAATTATATTAACACTAATTAATTAACCTCTTGCTCTAAAATTTCGTGGTATTAGCTAACAATGCATAAATTATATTATGTGTATTGGTATGGGCGTATAGCTTACATTACAGTACTCGCAATAGGATAAGATATGGATGATGAATCAACGGTTGGTTGTCTTCTTATCCAAGGAAATAGACACTTGGTTGTTATATCCTATCAAAACATTATATATAAAAGAATTAATAAAGATTTATCCAATTAATAAAAATTTGATCTATAGTTTATAAAATGGAGAGTTTAAATCCGCTATTAATTAATGTGGAGAATAATTTCATCGAAGGACAATTTTTAAGTAGTTTTATAAATACTTTTTAAACCTGAAAATATATTTAAATTTTAATAATACTGAGGACTCAATTCTTGTAAATTTTACAAACAAGGAAACCTTGTATAGAAGGATGATGTTACCTCAGAAGCAGATTGGATTCCATACCCATACCCGTTATCCGTACTATACATTACGTATAAAAAAGTTTAGCTTGATCACAATTTAGAGACTGGGCCAATCTGAAAACCGACAGAAATTAATTTGTCGCTTCCAAAATGGACAATTTATACAAAATAAAAATTTATTGATACAACGAAATACTTTCTACACTGCAGAATCAACTATTTAAATTAGTTCAAATAATTTAGAAAGTGGGACTTTTGATATGATTGGATGAAAATTCTTTTAATTATGCTATTTCAAAAAATAATCACTTAGATGGTGTAAAATTAAATATCACTTTTCCAATTATAGTTATTAAATTTAAAGTTTTTATTATAGAAATCTGTATGCTTGAATTTGTAAGTTATAACTCAAAATTAAAAGAAATAAGAAACCTCTATGGTCTTGCAATTTACAGCATTAAAGAATCCCTCGATGTATTTTATGCTCAACTGAATGTTGCATAGCAAGAGCAATGTTGTCAACGGCATTATTGCTACATCTAACATCTCATGAAGATCGATCAAACGTAGTACGGGATATACCAATGGAGCTCAATTATCCTCAGTACCCTCAATTGACAAACACACCGCGCGCGTGTTGGCATCTCTGCCAGAATAGATTTTTGAAGACATTAAAATTTGCTGACCTGACAATATTAATTCTTCTTTCTTCTTCTTCTTTTGTTTTAGTTTGCATATTAATACGTTTATTGGAGCAGAAGCGTTGCGGACTGCGGACGTGGTTATTGCCGGTTCTTATTTCTTAATCCTAGATGTCATGCAGTATTTCCAAGAAATCAAATTCCATCCTCTGTTTCATCATCTGGAATATCTTAAAAAAAGGATTTAACATAGAACATCCGGTTCAGGTGCATTTAGCAAATTGCATAGAGAGCTACTATAGATCTTGATGTTGAGTCCACCCACTTTTTCTGAATTTAATCCAGAAGCTAATTTGATGCCGCGGAAATTAATCAAGAAACAAGAGGCCTCGCTGCCCCACAGTCAATTTCAGAAGACAAATCTCTCCCAAGTTGTCTCTATGTGAAGAAATCTTACTCTTTACTGAAGCCAGTGGTTGCAACTTACATTGTATGACGCGGAGTGGTCCTACACGTCTCCAACGTTGGATAGGGACACATTTGATGAGTACGAGTGCCCACTGCTCCTGATTAATGATCACCTACTAAAACCACTGGCTTTTCCTGCCACCAGAAACCGCTCATACCCACTGGTTTTTCCAATCTTTTGGCCATTTTGTTGGCATCTTCACGTTTCCTACTATAAGTAACAATCATCTTCACTCCATTCACTTCATCAAATCCAAAACATAACTAATCTTGATACTGTCCTCTGTCTCTCACAAAGCCAAATTATCATATCGACTTTGAGTGTTTTCTTCGGTCGTCCCCGAGAATTGCAAGATGAGTTCGGCTAGCAGAGCTTGGACTGTAGTAGCTAGTGTCGGGGTTGTGGAGGCCTTGAAAGATCAGGGCGTCTGCAGGTGGAACCATGCTTTAAGGTCAGCCCAGCAACACATGAAAACCCATGTTAGAACCCTGTCGCAGTCAGAGAAGCTTTCTTCTTCCTCTCCTGCTATGGTTTCCAGCAGATTAAAAAATGACAAGGCAAAGCAATCAGAGGAATCCCTCAGGAAAGTCATGTACTTGAGCTGCTGGGGTCCCAATTAAAGAAGATTTTTTGTAAAAGGAATTGAAAGTTTCTTGAAGCTTCGCCTCGATGAAAACGGTGCCTGATGAGATCTCTTGTCGTGGATAAATAGTTGAATTGACCAGGTTGATGCTTGTTTAATTAGGGGGTGGGGGAGTATGCAAGTCCTCTATGTACGAGAGATTGATGTAAATACAAATTTTGTTATTTGATGCAAATATAAAGATCGATGCAGTTTTAATCACGCACTTCGTTTGAATTTTTATAAGGATTTTCTGCTTTCACAGGTACGCTTCTCTCGCAGCAGCGTTTCATCATCACCAGAAGCCTGTGCGCGCGCGAGCTGAGTAGAATCTTTCCTTAAGAAAGAGAAACCTAGAAGACGCTTACGCAAACCGTTCCAGAATTCCGTGAATTTTGAGTCTTGGACCTGCAACCAGGCATTGTGCTCCAGTAACTACGTGCGTGGCAATTTGAGCATGTCAAAAACTCACAGGCAGCTGTGAAGTAGAGGATCCTTTTTTCAATCACGACCCTTTTCATTATGAATCCACGGTAGAGTTTAAAGAAATAATTAGTGGTCTCTGATGCTAGAAGGGTTTATATGTTAGTTTCCTTTTTTTTTTTTGGGTAAATTATATGTTAGTATTTTAATAATGAAATACCACTTGAAGTGTACAACATAATGATAAAAATAGCATGAAACGAAAATGACAGTAGTACTATAATAAAAACCCGAGTGACTCGATCCGGGCACCTGAATGAATATTAAACATTAATATGCTTCGATTTTGTTTGTTTTGGCATTAAATCATTCGATCCAAAGTGCGAAATCCAACTTACAAAAACAAAACGACAAATAGTGGGACTTGGAGCGTCTCAGGAATTGAAATAAGCAAACCTTGTGGAAGTGTCTCATTGGCCGTCTCTAACCAACTAGGTGACACAGAGACACGTGGTCCTACTTTGGAGAGGAGTTTTTTCATTTTTTTATCTTTATTATAATTTTTTATTTAATAAAATAATATAAATGATTGAGACGAGGAAAGTAGAAAAAATAAAAATGGAGAAACCCTTTCTTCCCCTTCCTAGCATTCAGCATGTGATGCATTTAACTCGGGAAATTCCTTAGCCTCCCCTGGCTTCTGAAACCACCAAAATAGGCCAGCGAAAAACACAGACTTAACCACTTTTAGCCCCTGGTTTTCGAATTCTTCGTCGTCTCAAACCACGCCTTTATATAGCAAACCTATCCACTGCTGTTCCGTCATACGCATTTCACATATCCTCTCCGAGTTTTCTACCATCGGATTCCTGTCATCTACAATGAGTTCAGCAAGCAGAGCTTGGGTCGTGGCGGCTAGCGTTGGATTTGTGGAGGAGTTGAAGGATTAGGTCTTTGTAGATGGAATTACGCTTTAAGGTCAGCTCAGCACCGTCTCACAAGCCATGCTCCATCCTTGTCTCAGGCCAAAAAACTTTCTTATTCCTCCAATGCTATGGCCTCCACCCGACTAAAACATGACAAGGCTACGCAGCCTGAGCATTCCGTCCGGACCGTCATGTACTTGAGCTGCTGGGGTCCCAACTAGACGGCAATCCCATTAATTCAATTAATTATTTTTCTTATGAGCTCTAACAGAAAAGACGAGCTAAATGGGCTTCAGATTTATTAGGCCATTTATAGGGTATGGGATTGTGTACGGTGACATGTCGATGGGTACATCTCGGATTCTGAATTGTGATTACAAGACCAAGGGAATCTACTCGCCTTGGAGGACTATTTGAGTTCGTAAATTGTCGGTTTTGATTTACTGGCACTAATTTCAGGTCAAAGAACGAAGATTACCACTCCTTTTGGAGGCAAAGGGGATTATATATGAATTTCGATTCGTTGTGCTGCGACTATCCTTCTGCGGTTTTATCATTCTAGCTCCATCCATGTGTCGAGCGATACTGGCCGAAACCACACTCCAGATTTTTACCAAACAAATCGCTCAATGCAAACTTGGACATCATTCTGCAACTACTATATGAAAGAAACCACGCGCATCCGATTTTCGTCAAATAGACACCCGACTCGATCGAATTGACGATTCCCCTTCCTGCCAAGATTGTTTACAATTATCATTGTCTTTGATGCGAAAGAGCGAGAGAAAAGCACTTCCAAATAAAGGAGAGCGTGGAAAGTGGCTGCATGTGTTGGTATTGCAGCAAGGCCTTGATGGAAGGAACCGGTGTGGAGTCATGGAGTGAGAGATCTTGTCCTCGATATGCCCATAATAATTTATAATACAAAATCGTTTGCTTTGATCAATGAGCTTTCTCCAACTTCATCAATGATCTCCCCCAAATTGTCGAGGGAAAACACAGGAGTTATGAGCTGGGTCCCTATGGAAACCCATGGTATAGCACAGCTCGCGCTGTCAAATGTGGACATCAGATAAATTGATCCATAAACCTCTACTTGGCTCACCCGCGGGAGGCTAGAGCGCTAGGCAAACACGAAGTTCAGACAGCACACTCCCCCTCATTTTATACACAGGAAAAAAAAATCACCTAATTTAAAAAAATTAATTAATTATAATAATTATATTTGAAATAAAAAAAATTAAATTAAAATATCTTATGTTAATCAATGTAAATATGCATTCATTATTTCCTATCAATATAAATAATGAGAGATAATTTAAAAAAATTGTAATAAATACTTATTAAAATATTTCTTTAATCTTATTTATAAGACACTTCCAACATGTTTTATCATAATCAATGAAAACTTCAAAACTCATTAACTATGTCTAGAAATTTAATAATTTTTTAATTTTACCCTTATTAAATAGGGGCTTTAGCAAATTTAGTCAATATTATATAGTTAAATAAAAATAATAACCAACCTTTTTTTAAATTAAGATAATGGTCGTTTTTTAATTTACCTTTGATACAAAAGGCAAAACTACTCTTAAACATCACAATACCCTGATTTCTCTTTTTCACATTAGTTTCCCTTTCATCCACTCAAAGACATAGAGACACTGTACTCTAGATCATGATGGTGAAGAAACTGACAGTAGACAATGAAATAGTTTACACCAATGAATAAACGGAGTTAGAGATTTAGTCAGGAGACCACAAGAACGCGGGGCGAGGCGAGGTAGACTGGAAGCTATAGATTCAGGTTGAAAAATCACAAATACAAGGTGAGGAAGTCTGAAACTGCAGCTTCTACATAAAGCCACACTAAAGCTGTAGATTCAGGGTGAGAAAGTTCAACCAGACTCTATTACAAAAGTCACAGTTTAAGTAAGGGTTTCTTGAGATTTTGTTTGATTTATTTTAAGAAAATGATTATGTGTTTTTCGTGTTACTGATTTGCAATATTGCATCATTGATATATGACTATATATCAATTATAAATAAGTTGATGTTTGATTGTCTGGTTATGTTGATATACGATAGTATATTAATGATATACTATTATATATCACTAATATATAAGCTCTATCAGTGAAAACTTACCAATTTGTTTATCGTTTATATACAACCGTATATCAATGATATAACATCGCAGATCAATAATGGAGTTTTCTTTTTAATGTCTAACGTCCTCTTCATAATATCTGGGGAAGAACAAAGAGGGAAAGAGATAAAAAGCTCTGCGATAAAGATGGTAATCTAGAAAAATTAAATCAAAAATTTTAATGAAAAAAAGTACTGTACAAGAGATGAATATGATGATATAAGAAAATTAGATCTAAAAATTTAATGAAAAAATATTCAAAAATAATAAATCAAAGGGAAAGCACGCACAATACGATTTTTTATAATAAAAGTAAAAGATTTAATCAGCCAAAAATTAATTAAATCAAATATATTATGTTTTAATCATAAATTTATTTAAAGATACAAAATAAAAATACATTTAATTGATTTTATGGATGGGCCATATTCAAAAATATTTAAAAACCTCATCCATAATTTACGAGAGTTATATTTTTTAAGACCATTGAGTTAATTTTTTCTATTAAATATACATATTCTAACAATATATTTTTTATCTTTAGCATTCAATGGAGGTCAAATAGAAAAATTTACAATAAAAATTTAATAAGGTGACTTATAAATGAGATAAAAAAAATTTTTTCTTTTTGTTTTATAAATAGGATTAGAGAAAATAGGTAATTTTGTTTATATAAAAAATATTATTATTTTTATAAATAAAAATGGAGGGAATATTTATTAAATTCTTGTTATGATGCAATTTTCGTGCTTATTTGAATTGCCTCATTAATTGATTTTTGAGGCAAAAAATTGATTAATACGAGAAGTTAGCCAAACAATTGAAAATGGTTGAAAATTGATTATGAGTTAGGACGCTCGTTTTTTCGCAAGTTCTCTCTATTCGCATAAAGTTTATCAAAAAGCTTTGGAAAAAATTATAAAGGAAGGCCCAAAAAATTACAAAAAAACACATTATTTAATAAAAATAAAATTAAACTCTCTTCTTTTCCCTTTTTTTTCTTAATAAAATTTAAACTTTATATATTTAAAAAATTAATATTAGATATTTAAAAATTAAATTATATAGTAATTTATATAGTTAAAAATTAATTCTAATTAAATTATCCAAACATCTTCAATTCTGTTAAAATTAATTTTAAAAAAATATTATTTAAATAGATTGCGTTATAATATAATCAATTATAATTAAAATTTATTATCTATTACTTAATTAATTATTTTTATAATTTATTATACCCAATTAAAATTTAACAGAACCCTTCAAGTGTCAAGGGAATTCACGCGTAACTACGGAAGGTGAAAGCAGTCATATACGGATACAGAAAAATTGTAAATCCTTTCTAATCTGTCTGGCAACGAAGCCCCAGGGGGGCCATACCATACTATTGTGTGTCAAGGAAATTATTTTGAGGAGTTTGAGGAGAAAAGAAGTTGGTCTTTGCAGTGGATGTTTGATTATATGTCAGCAAAATTTGTAATTGAAACTTAAAATAATAAACAATTCAGAATGGTTTAATATTTCTAAAGAAAAACTAGAGGGATTGATGAAAAGGTACCCCCTGCGATAGGACCGCAAATCAAGATGAGTGGACTTTCCGATGCCACCCTGCTTAATGACACCACAAGCAAGTAATGTTCTAACATTATAGCGCATACTGTGCCTTAGGGCATAGCGTCTAAACGATTACATCTTTTTAAAAGCACAAAGCGAATCACGAAGGGAAGAAATAAAGCCAGGAAGTAAACGTCAATTCAGTGCAAGCAAAGATCCACTGCCTTTCCCCCTTATTTTTTCTTCTTTAGTGGTTTAGATTTGAAGCCAAGTTGATTTTATTTTTGTTCTTATCTTAATTGTTTCTTTGCTTAAAAAACCAGCAAGCTTAAAATCATCCTGACTAGCTTTTCCTGGCGTCATCTTATAATTTTCACCACTTAAATTACGGAATTTGCAGCTGGTAAATTAGCAAAAAAGTCCAAAAAAAGATGCACCCATCACCCATGTGAGTGAATGAACAAATTAGCAGACAGGTACAGATCAATTAGAGTAGCACGGATTCTAAATTATTGGCAGCAAACAAAAGCTGGCTAGATTCTTAAATAATAGTAATATTATTATAAGATATATCCAAGAATCGTAAAAAATTTAGACCAATTCACGTAACATGATTTTTTTGTACAGAGCAAATTCAGTCATTGGAAAGCATTACGTGAAATCTTAAAAAGGAGAAGCAAATGATTGCAGGGAGGGGAGAGCGAGACCAACTGGAAAAAACAGTCGGACCTCAAACGGACAAATCAAATTCAGAAAATTCCCCGCGTTGAGATCCATCTCGTCTTGAGCAGTAACATTCACTCAGGCCAAGCCCATCCCAACCGCCTCATCTACCAAAGTATCTCTCTCGTAAAGGTAAGCACTACCATTTTGGACAAAACGCGCAAAAGTTGTAAATCAGACATAACGAATGGTCTTATTCAATCTTTGTTTTGCTCAGGCTACTACTACGTCAAAGCGCTTTAGCAAACGCTAACAATTGAAAAATATTACCGAGTTCAGAGCTCCGTAAGAAGCTTTGAGACGCAGTATCGGGCGACACGGAGAATGGAAGTGAAGAGTGAGAAATCGGGTTCTGACGCGAAGGTTTGGAGTTTTTGTAGAATGCCATTTTGGCAAACGAGCCATGCTTCTTCGTCTTCTTCTTCCACATCTTCTGTGCATAATAATGTCCATCAGCATGAACACAGTCTTCAATCTCTTGATAGATCGGCTCATCAGGCTTCGACTACGGTTTCGTCTGTGGCCAAGTCTCTGCTTCCTGCAAGAAGGAGGCTCCGTCTTGATCCCCCCAACAAGCTCTACTTTCCCTGTATGTTTTTTGGGAATCATGTTTGTTTAGATACTTTGAGCTTCATTGTCTTATTAGATTTGGTTCTATTCAATTTCTCTTTGGGTAGTGTCAAGCTTTTATGACTTGCTTTCTCGTTCTTTCGCTGATTTACATTGAATGAATTGTTCCTAATTTTTAGGAATAATGTACCCGTTTGTGAATTATGTTATGAGCTCCCTCCTTGTCATCATCGTCCATGGATTCTCTAATTGGCAGAAACAAAAAATGTTGATAGAGTATGGTGCTTAGAATTTTGCGGTAGATGTTGGCTTGGTCCCGTTTCTGATTTAATGCGACTTTGTTTTGATTCTGTTGAAGATGAACCGGGTAAGCAAGTAAGGAGCGCAATCGCAATTAAAAACACTTGCAAGTCTCGTGTAGCATTCAAGGTGGGGGAATATTTCTCTATTTAATGTTTTTTCTTAGTTTCTAGCATTGTCTTGTTATGCATATGCCATATGATCATTCGACGACTTACTCTGCTGAGTCAATCGTACCGACGTTGACACGACGTTGGGAAACTTTTGGCTGTTTTTCTACCGACGCAAAGGAAATATGTGGTCAAAATGTATCTTGATTGCTTCGGCAACCGCGACAACTGGGAATTTTTTTTGTAAAACTTTTGATATATTTGACAAACATCTGGGTTTCGTAAAAATATTTGATATACCTGGATTATAGAAGGATTATAGAATGCATAACATGTTAAACAATATCAACTTCCTATTTGGATTTCTTTACGAAAGCCTATTAGTATATTGATTATAATTATGTGCTACCAATATATTCTGGTTGCTGGTTCTATATGTCATCTATCAAATTAAAACACTGTTAGTGTCACCATTGACTGAGGCGTGTTGTTTTGTCAGTTTCAAACGACTGCACCTAAGAGTTGTTATATGCGCCCTCCTGGTGGTATACTTGCACCTGGTGAAAGTATAATCGCCACCGGTAATTTATCCTTTCACAATTGTCTTAAGTTCAACTATGCTTTTGTTCACGAGTGGGATCTTTCTTATAAAGGTTGAACTTGTTTGGCAGTATTTAAGTTTGTGGAGCCCCCAGAGAACAATGAGAAGTTGATTGATCAAAAGAGCAAGGTTAAGTTTAAAATCATGAGCTTAAAAGTGAAAGGAGAAATGGAGTATGTACCAGAACTGGTAATGCATCTTAATTGTTAGTCCTTTCCGTGGCTTCTGGCATGTATCTTCATAATTTTGTTCCTTCTTGTTTATGTGAGATTAAATTGAACTTCTTGTTTTGAAGTAGCTTGGAGTTTTCATTATTGTATATAGTATTATTGATTGAATCAGGTTTTTTTATCGGAATGGATTACTTATAAATTTATCGGCCTCTTTCCAGGGATTTAGGTCAAAACTTTGGAAATTTCACTGAAATCAAATAAACATAAACAGAATGACATCTATTCTTTGACTTTCTTAGAATTGCTAAATTCATTGTGATTCAGTATAAACATAAACAGAGTCTGAAAAAAAAAAACTTGGGATGAGGTAGTCTACACTACTTGTGATTCAGTATAAGTACAACAATTGAATGCAAATGTTTCAGATGCTGAAAATTTTGTCGTATGATCCTATTTGCAGTTTGAAGAGCAAAGGGATCAAGTAACGGTGGAGCAAATTCTGCGTGTTGTTTTCCTCGACCCTGAACGTCCTAGCCCTGTAAGATATAATCCCGAATATGTCATGTGACCTTCTGCCATTTATGTAAGCAAATACGAAGCTTCTAAAAGATTATACATTGTTTCTGATAGGCCATGGAAAAACTTAAGCGACACCTTGCTGAGGCTGAGGCTGCACTGGAAGCACGAAAGAAGCCACCAGAGGAGACAGGTCCAGAAAGCGTCGGGAAAGTCATTGATGAATGGGTCAGACGCTTATTGATCTCATATACCCTTTTCCACCCTCCCCATTTTAGTATAGCTTCGGTTGGATGTTCTTTCATTCAGTCTAATTTATTGTTTGCCTGTACCTTTTTGTAGAAAGAAAGAAGAGAAAGATACCTGGCGCGACAACAAGTTGAAGGCGTCAATTAGCCTAAAGTGATGTTACTTTTAGTTGAGCACTTAGTTTTCAGCAATTTTCTGTCAAGGAAGTTGAATTCGTCGGCCACTGATCCGGCAAAGTTGGGGCTTCAAAGCATTGTTGCGAAAGCTTTTTTTGTTTTCTGTTTTTTGGGGCGGCGGGTGGGTATTGCTCTGGCATGCATGTGTAGGCGAGTGGATTAGTACTGAGCGGCAGTAATTTATTGAATTTTCGCGCAATCTCTCACAATTTGTGGATAGTTTGTATCATTGTTTTCTTCAGATGAACTTGTCAATCTTGACAGAACTGAACCTTATTTTCGTGCCATATAGTGTGGACAGTTTTGCCTCGCAAAAATATCCATGTCGGAAATTAGCTGTCATTCCCAATAGGATATGTAGCCGGCATGCATTGCTTGCTTTCTAGTTTAGGTTGGGATCCAGATTTTGACTATCATTTGGTTGAATGATGCATGTTATTTTGGAGTGAAATAAGTAGGGAAATTCATAATAAATGACCACTTTAGTCTCATATTCATAAAAAAGGATCAAAGGATTCTAAAATTATTCTATCAAGACTGAAAAAAATCAAAATGTAATTAAAATTCATTCTGAAATTACAAATCCACTCCTCATTATTAGTATTTACTTTTAAGTCATCTATTGACATTGAAGCACTGTCGACGGCAGAAGCTCCAACGCTGGCCACCGAAGTTCTGGTGAGGATGAGAAATTATTTTTTTTCCAAGGTGATCAAAGGAGTAAAAATGATAACCACTAAGCCCACGTTGTTTCTTAATCATGTAATGCAAACTCATATATATACATATATTATCAAATTTATTTTCAATTTCCAAACCAATACTTATTAAATATTTACTGGTTAGCTATCATTTCACAAATAATTACTTGTTAATATGCACCAACTTTTATAAATGTTTACTTATTTTTAATTATTAATAAATGTTTACTTATTAAAAACTTATGTTAACTTGTTATTTTAATTAAATTTATTTATCAAATTATTTTGGAAAACATTTATAAAAACATGTGGAAATTAAATTTGTTTAACAATTCTTCATTAGTAATTTAAGAAGAAACTATTTGTAAAATGATAAATCAATAATTTCCCTTATTAATTTGCAAAGTAAATTTTAGTAAAATAAGAAGTTCACAAAATCTATTTTACAAGCAAACTTTTAGTAATAAAAATAAATAAATATTTTATAAAATCATTGCATAATAATTTTTTCATTGAGTCTCCATCAATAATTTAAAAAATAATTATTTGTAAAATAACAAGCCTCGTTACTAACTTTAACAACTTTTTTTATTAACTTGTCAATAATTTAACAAGTCCCCATTTGTTAAATTTTAATAAAATAAAAAGTTTACAAAAGCTATTTTACAAATAAATTTTTTATAATAAAAATAAGTAAAATTTTCATAAAAACTAGTGCATAATAATTTTTTTAAAAAAATCCTCATTAATAATTTAACAAATAATCATTTATGAAATGACTAGTTCTGTCATTAACTTTGATAATTTCTTTTAATAATTTTTAACAAGTTTCATTAGTAATTTGCTTATCATTCCATGAATGGCTACTTGTTAATTACTAATTAGACTTGTTAAAAAAATTTAATATGTATCAGCTTTTATAAATGTTTTTTTTAATCAAAAGTTTAAATGTCAAAAACTTACATAAACTTTTTATTTTGATAAAATTTACTTGCTAAATTGTTAAAAAATTGTTAGAGTTAGTAATGATAAATTACTAAAAGAGACTACTTTATAAAAACCATTATGCATTGATTTTTATAAAAGGTTTACTTATTTTTTATTATCAAAAGTTTTCCTGTAAAATAGCTTTTGTGAATTTTTTATTTACAAAAAATTTACTTATCAAATTAATAAGAAAAACTATCAAAGTTAGTAACGAGACTTTTTATTTCATAAATAACTACTCATTAAATTACTAATATGAACTTATTAAACAAATGTAATTTTCATCTATTTTTATTTTCTAAAATAATTTTACAAGTAAATTTTAATAAAATAACAAGTTAATATAAGCTTTTAACAAGTAAACATTTAATAATAAAAAGAAGTAAATATTTATAAAAGCCAATGCATGTTAAATTTTTTAAAATTTTTCATTGATAATTTAACAAGCAGTTATTTATAAAATGATAATTAATCATTATGTTTGTTATAAGTATTGTCTTGGAAAGCAAAAACGAAGTTGATATTATATATAAAAGTTTGCATTATGTAATTAAGAAGTATTGTTAGGTTAATGGCTAATAATATTTTTGGTCATTGAGAGGTTGTGGAATCAAAGCCCTTCTGCGGTCAAAGTTGGCATTCCAATAACAGTGTGGGATTTTTTGAAAAAAATAAATGAGTAATAGCTTTATAATTTTATAGCAAATTTAATTACATTTTAATTCTTTGATTCTACAGAGTAATTTTAAAATTTTTTAATTCTTTTTTTGAATATGATACTATGATCTTTTATTATGATTTTCTCAAATAAGTATCCTTAGGTTAATTTGTGGAGATCATACATACATACATATATACATGTATATTACAGTTTGTCGAAAAGACAAGGGAGACCCGAAGTTCAATTTTTTTATGTAAATGATTCGTTTGTATGTTGTTAATAAAAAGAAAAACATTTGCTTTTATATTTGTTACTCTTCAAATTAAAGACATTTTTCCTAATATATAGTTTACTTCCTCGAGAATAAAGGAGGAGGAGAGAACAAGGAAGAGAAAAAAGAGAATGAGCAAACCAGCATCGTCTTTTATGCTGTAAACTACAATTAAAAATAAGTAACCCAAGTAAAATAATATCATCAATATTGCTGGAAATGATAAGGAGGTTCCCACCAGATTAAGCTTTCGATGGCTTCAAGACATCTGTTGCTTTCGTCTTAAAGTAAGCTTATATCAACAATCCTCTTGGAGCTGAACACCACCAATGGCCTCTATTTTGAAACTAACGGCTCATCCAGTCCACGGCTTTGAAGCCGAAAAGGTAAAAATAGAGAAACCAGCGGCTTCAGAGTGTCTCTCCCATCCATTGCATTCTTACGTATATGATCTCTTTTTCATCCTGGACGTTAATATAAGCCGCTGTAGTTGCATTGATTGGAGTCAAAGTTCATCCTCCTTAGGCCTTGGGCCTCCCTTATTGCTAAAGACATGACTCGCATGGCTGCACGTGACTTCCATCCCCAGCCCATCTCGGGCTCAGCGGCCCATCCCTGACACTTCCACGTGTCACGTCAGCATGCCTGACTCATCAAATCCATCAACACTAGAAAGACAAAACTACCCCTCCAGGGAATTGAATCATTGATCGTCCTCACAGACGAGCCAAGACAGTGTGGAGTGGAGTCCGGGCCCAAAAGACGAATAATGGAGTGGGACCCAGATGGATAAAGAAGCGGAGTAGGTGTGGGGAGCGACGCACGGACGAGTCATCATCGTCCCTAAGGATAAGCTCGCCATCTGTCTCCTCAGACGCGCAATTGACCCTATGGTATTCTCACGATATCTCATCAGGCAGAGGGTATCGAGATAATCTCCCGATAATCTCTTCTTTGGACGTATCGACGGCTCTGAAAAGGCGAAAATACAATGGTCCCACCGCACCTTATCCTAATCCTGGAGCCACCTCGACCTTTGCTAGTGCTTATTAATTTATCATCTACTCTATAAATGACAGTGCCTCCTCCCTCTCCTTCCACTCTCAATCTCAGAATTCGGAAACAATATTCTCTAACGCTTTCGGGTTACATTCGTGAAGAAATCTTCATACGCCAGTAAAATGAGTTACCTAAGCCGTGTTTGGATGGCCGCGACGGTGGCCGTAGCACAGGGTCACACGGACCCCGGTCACAAGTGCAAGACCGGCCTTAAGTCCATTCAGCAAAACCGGCGAAGGTTGTTCTCCGCCGGAGACACGTCGGATCTTAGACCTTTGTCTGGCATGATGGGATCGGATGTTCCAGGAGTCATGGAGAACTGTGATGTCGATTCCCGACGAAGGCAAGCCGACGATTCTCTTCGGAAAGTTATGTACTTAAATTGCTGGGGTCAGGGCTGATCTGTGGCGCGAAAATCGCCGGAGATAATATATGATGATATTGATGTGATCCTCATCGTGTTGACGGCTAACGATCGGGTCAAAAAGAGGGGTTGACCGACTTTGGTGCGGATGAATGGTTGTTAGGTTTGAACTTTAAAGTTGAACTGTAATAGTTTGGCCGAGAAAAGGTTGAACTGTAATAGGTGGGGGAAGCTTGATCTTGTACGTTGTAACTTATAAACTTTGATCTCATAAATTGAGATTTCTCCGACCAGTGGCTGCACTTGTGTGGATAACGATAATGATAACTGCACCTATTGCTGCTCCAATTTTTTTTACGAGTTCTACTTCTCAAGAGTCACTGGCAAATGATAGTCAATCATCTTAACTAACCGCTCAGCGGGAATTTTCTTTTTTACTTTTTTTTAAAAAAAATCAATGATTGTCAAGCAAAATCTTGAAGATTCTCTCCTTGGAGATAATAACGATAAATTTCGATCATTCATTACATTCAGAAGGAAGACTAAACACCGTTGGTAACCAATCTCGCATCTTTCCTCTACACAAGCATCCGGTTCAATTACATCCTATTTAGATTCAGTTAACATACAAAAAAAATTATATATAAAATCATATATATATATATATATATATTGAGGAGATAAAAAAATAAGATTGATATGCTACCACTACTAAAATTGTGTGCAGAGATATCTTTCAAAATGTGGATCCAGGCTTTTCTTAAATTTATTAATCTAACAAATTTCAAATGTCCAATTTTTCCAACATATTCAATTCTTTATTTTTAATTTAGACAATAAAAACTCGGAAGATTGACAAGTAAAAATTTTGTGAAAATATTAATGACAAATCAAGACTCTTAATACTGAAATACACGAGGAGTACTGAATTTAAGAATGTCAAATGTTAAAAAAATTTAAGAACGTCAATGTTAAAAAAATCTTAATTTAACATTAATATTCTTATAAGAGTCCTAAAAACTGTCATTCTTCCTAACCACTGTCCTGGGTTTGTAATTTAGTTTACATATATATATATATATATATATTGGGGAATATAAAAAATAGGATTGATACGATTCCACATGAAAACTCAAGAGCGAAGCATCATTTACAATGCTATACAATACTATAGTGTCAGGGTGATAATGGTTCGCGATTTGACATTCACACAACTAAGATGCTTCATACACCCGAGCCATGGAGCTGTAACGGTTAACCGATGAGGCCTCTTGTATTGTTTTCACCTAGTAGTGAACAAGGAAGAATACAATAGTTGACTGAAGAATAGTAGTATTAAGAAGAAAAGGAAGAACACAACCTGCGAATGAGAAGGCTTATAACAAAATTAATGCCCAAAAAACTATTAATGCAACAATTACTTACAAGAAAGTACATATCAAGAGACCGACCTTAAGGAGGAGAAAAAACATGCCAAGGGACGAAAACTCGTGTCCCTGGGCAGGATGGTGAAGTGAGTTTCAGAGTGCTTCATCAAGCTTTCAAGTTCCAAGAACCGGATTTACAGTGGGTACTGGGTAAATGAATTAAAATATGGGGTCAGACTGAAAATTCTCAAATAAATGGAAAAAGAAAAAATTGAAAGAACCACAACCAACGCACTGCAAAGAAACCATGTTGATTGATTGTAAACAGGAAATGTTGTCCCAGTCGATGCACACAACATCCTAGTCCATTGGGTACCGGCCTTCAAACCCGTGCCCTCTGCAGTTTTAAGCATAACAGTGAACCACAAAGGCCAGCACGCAGCATCCTAGTCAATCATACAGGTAGAGGGATATTTCTCTGACTCCCAACATTAACATTTGGTTTTATCTCCCACGAGGCAACATGCTGCGATTCCTCGGGAAGGATGAAAGGCAAAGAAATCTCTATGATCATCAACTCGCCACAGAATGGGCATTCACTCGCTATTGCATCATCCAGTTGTGATCGGAGCTGTCCATCCATTTGACATCAGTATGTTAGCTTATACCCAAGTTTTCATGCTAGTCAACGCATTTGGCGGCGTAATGTAGAGTGCGCCTAAATGCTCGTGCATAAAATGGAAAAAAATAATAATTACAAATTGGTTTTCTTCAAGAGTGATTCCAGCGGTCAAGTACATGCCACACACCACAAGAATGTAAAATTAAAGTCCCATTTGGTTACTAAAAAGGAATGAAATAGAATGGATTGAAAACGTCAAGGTAAAAATAAGATATTCAAAATGTAATGTGAGATAGATGAGTCATATTCATAAGGAAGAAAGATAATTTAGTAGTTAGTACATGCAATTGAGAATCATGATTGATAAAAATTTTAGATGATATGATAATTTTCACATTCGTGGCATACAGTACTTAAGTTTTATCATATCTACAGTAAAGGAAAAAAGTGATTTAGTTCATTTTTTTTGTTTTTTCTTCATTTCATTCTTATCCTTTATAGCAACTAAACAGGACCTGAAAGAAAGAAAGAAACGCGGAAATACATAGAATTCAAAATGAAGATCAACAACCAAAGCAGAACGCAAGATTTTCCCCAATCTCAGCTGATCCCTGTTACTTAATGCATATTATGAACAAACCTTATCCGCTGGGCTCATGCTAGGTATGGTGGAGTCTTCCGGAGAAAGGGTACCATTGGAATCCCTCCTTGCTTCACTACCCATCAAAGAAAGTTGCTTTTGCCGATCCAGTATGTACTCAGCCTGCAACATTCACAAATTCCGTTAGATTCAGTTTAATATGTTGATAAAGCTATAGTAAGAACGAATACTATTTTAGAATAGGGACAATGACACTGCTACGGGGATGCAACCTGGTCCAGTGAATAATTAAACATTAGCACAAGCAGATGAATACAGCTTCTTTTAAGCTTACACCAAATTATCAAGACAGGGAGAAACGAAAGGCGCACTTACAAATTCACTATTTTAAGCTGTATGTCAATCTTGTATTCTTGGTATTGTCCGCATTGCGTGGGTGCAGCTGTGGTTCCTTGTGAGTTACTCTTCTTTTTTTTTTTTGGTGTATTTGTTTACAAAATCCTAACAAACTAAGGAATTAAATAATATTTTAAAATAAAATAAACTATTTTACCCTGTTCTCAAATCTCAAAAGGCTACACTGGGTTTCTAAGATTGAGTTTTGTAGTTTTCTACTTAATTTCTATTACAAGACCTTGTGGTTTTCTACTTTACGTCTTAAATCTCTCTAGTCCTATTTATAAGGCCTACAGTTAGTCCTTAATACAATATTTAATGAAACACTTATAACTAATCTCCAAAAAAGCCCTTACCTCTTTGTAATGGCTTTTCAAGCATCTCTCCCCATACCAATCAAAGGATAATTTTGGAAAGTTGCAAAAGTTTTTAACATATAACTAACTTCAACTAATTTTCTTAGTCTTAGGAAGCAGTTAATAGTGCCTTAAAGAACTGGAGGGAGTATTATTTTTTAAATGTTGGATTAAAACTCATGAATTAACTCTTCCCGTTTTGCTTTCAAGCACACAGGCACCTAAGGCGTTCTCCAAGAAAGTAGAAAAAAGTGCCTCTGGCAGCACCTTTTGTGTCGTGAGAGGCGCTAGCCTGAATTTGCCCCCTCAGCACCTTCAACTAGCATGCTAACCAAAATTCAATACGCATCCCATAGTAGTAATAGGTAACAAAGGATTATCCAAATCATGTATTACGCACTTCCAACTAAAATAGAAGATGAAGTTCTTTTTTTCCATAGCCAAGAAAGCGAGATCAAGTTTTCATTCTCAAATATCAACTAGGTTATCAAATAAAAAAATATGATAGGCCCATGTAGATATCAACAACCAACAGTTGCTGGATAGCTCAGATCATAACTTCATGTTTCATACATGTACCAAATCTTCACAAGTGAGACCACAAAACTGAGGTGCTGGCAGCATTTTTGTGCTTTAGCGTAGTATATATTCTTTTAATTTAATGAATTCATTACAACAATTCAAGAACCTCGGTAAAATGGGAAAAAAAGATGCTTCCAGGAAACCAAGAATAGTGAATACCTATCAACTCTCTGAGAACCAAACCTATTCAATTTTTCTAACAGCCAGTGATAATCAAGCCTTTCAAATTTGTTACATTGGTCTTCTTAATGAAAAAAATAAAATTGAATGGCAAAATTCACATATCTTCCCTACAAATAAAGCAGACCTTGTTGAGAACAATAAACTTTCAGGAAGTACACAACAGAAAAGTCATTATGAGATATCTAATAAATAGGAGGAAATGATATTTGTACTTACATGGGCTTCGTCAGTACAACGAGTCACATGGGCAATCAGGCATTGTGCATGGAAGGCATGTCCACATGGAAAGACATAAAAAGGAGGCATTGGCCCTACTGATGTAAACCCACGAGCTGTGCCATACTCCCTGCCAGCAGTTAGAATTTTTCGTCGACATACCTATGAAGCAGAGACAAAAGTGAGTCCAGACTTGAGTATGTAGTGACCATCAAAACTAATGCAGGTCAGATTTAATGTATCTGATGTGAGGGCAAAAAAAGATTAAATATATCTAATGACCAAGTCAGAATCATAACAATTTGAAACAAAAAGGTGCAGCTCTATCACAACTATTAGGAAGATCCATACCCCACATTCCTCATCCCGATCAATAATAGCATATCTCTGAGCAAGGGCATTGATATCATTTCTGATGTTGTCAGCACCATGTGTTGCATCATTCATCTCTTGCTTCAGCTGTTCAATTTGTTTGTTGTAATCCTCCAACGATGAGCAGATAGCCTCCTACACACATTCAGATGAATTCCCCAATGAAAGAATAAGAAAAACCAGGTTCAATAATATAATTATCATAAGCACAGAAATACTCAGCATAAAAGGATCCCATGTTCTTCAAATACATCACAAAGGAAAACGACAACAGAATATTGTCAAGAGGTCCGGCCATGGCATATAACTTTCTCAAAAGTAGCATATTCTTGGGCTGACAAGAAAATTCACGTTTCATACAAGATCCATTAGTAAAATTATCGTGATTAAAACCTGAAAAGATCAATTTAGAGGTTTCATTCTCTTGATAAATTCCAATCACCAATCAAGTTCGTTTTTCCTTTGTCTACTACAACATACATCGAATAGATGTCTCATCATACATTGGATCCTTATCTCATATCGAATGAACCTGTTACAAGCTTAGGTGATTATATCAGTTATCTTCTATACATAAGATCATAAGGATATGATCTAAAAAATTCCAAGGGAGGAACACTTTATATTCTTTGATCCTAAAGGAGTAATACAGG